TGCGGACCACAGCGCATGCAGCATTTGAGATGAGTGAGCGCTGCAGGCCAAGCGAGAGATCTCAAAGCAGTGTGGGGTGGAAAACAAAGCGTCTGTGCAAATCTTAAAAATGCAAATAGCATTGCATATTGCAGTGGACAGAAACACATGCATATATAATGAAACAAGAAAGCGATAAGAAGGACGAAAGAATAGCATCAGCTTCACGGAAGTAGTTACTTCTGACTTGGAAAGAGCCTGGTGGAAAGGAGGAAACGGGGGACGTCAGCTGCGCTAGTGGTGATTTATAACCTTAAAAGAGAAGACAGCGCCGACAGCAGCTATGGCACAGTGCTGCTGTGACTTGCTTCTCGGTAGCTGGGGTAGGGAGTTCGCGTTCTTTTTCTGCAAGTTTGAAGGATTTTCATAACTGAAAATTAAAGCACGAAGATGAAAAATGAAAGTCTACATTTATTTCCTTTTTGACTCCTCTCTTAAATTCCAATTTATGAATCACTATGTTCATAAAGGGAGAGAGGTGAGAACTGAAGCCAAAGACCTCCTCTGTTCTGTTTCTTAGATGAATAGCGATCTGTTTAAAAATTAAATAGCTTAATAGTATCTTTCTTGTGATAGTTAATTTTCTGACATTAAATGTTATTTTCTCTCTCCAACTCTCTTTGCTAGGATTACGTGTTTTTAAAGAAATGAAATATTTCAGCCAAAGAAGTAATCTAATGTGTATTCACGTTAGGTGTGAGGAAACAGAGGCGTCTTTCCCTTCTGCTCTGCAGTTCCTCAAGCCGTTGCTGGGTGTGCCGTGTCCCAGCCTCTTGGGCATCTCCCCACCAAGTCTGGTCCCGAGCCGCCATCCCTAGCTTGGCACAGAGGCAGGGGTGAGGGGAGGCAGTGCTGCCTGCTCCTGATGCAGGGCTGGGAAGGGCAGGTCTATGCTGGGCCCTGGGGGCAGACTCTTCCCGGACTCTGGCCCTTGAACCACACCTCGGGGTGCCCGGGCTGCCGTGGTGGCGGAGTCTGTCTCCTGGGCCCGGTGAACTGGACAGACTGGGCTTGAGACTCCTTTCCTCTTGGCTTCCTCTTTCAAGAAGCAAGAGCTTACTTAACATTTATGGTCTCAAGGAGCATCCGTTTTCCTACAAATGACTGGTTTATCCTTTATGGCAGAGTAGTGCTCCCTGGTGTGTGAACACCACATCTCCTTTATCCCAGCTGCCTCCAGGATTTAGCGACTGTGAATTGTGCAGCTATAAACATGGATGCACATGGATCGTTGTTATATGGTGACTTTATCTCTTGTGGGAAGATATGTAAAAGGTGAGTAGCTGGTGGAATGAAATTTCTAGTTTTAATTTTTAAAGGATTCTCCAGACTGATTTCCATAGTGGCTGTACTAGTTTACACTCCCAGCAACAGTGGAAAAGGGATTTTTTCCTACCGCAGCCTCACCAGCATTTGTATCACCGATTTCTTAATGTTGACTATTTTTTCTGGAGAAAGATGGAACCTCAGTGTTGTTTTACTTTGCGTTTCTTACAGCTCCCTGTTCCCCAGGGCCTGACTCTGGTCCCTGAGACCCAGGCTGTGGCATCCTGTCCGGGCTGCTCCTGTGACCCCAGGCTGTCACCCTGGCCACTTCTGTGCCCAGCTGCTACTCCACTGGGGTCCAGGTGGTGGTGGCTGCTGTCCTGCTCCCTCACCCAGTTCTTGGGGATGCGGGCATCTGAAGGCTGCCATCCCTTCCATCGAGCCACTCGCTTAGCATGTGACAGGAAGGCAAAGGGACATTGTTTGTCTGCAAACACCAGCTCTCTTTCCCACTTCCAGTGTTGGCCACTCACGGGCACCCTCGTTGGGCTTTGGAGACACCCAGCGTGGAGGGCAGGACAGGCTGTGCGGTGAAGGGTCCTCGCCTCATCTCCTGGCTTGGAAGGAGCACAGATCCTTGGTCCATGCTTCCCTTGGGGTTAGGAAAGCGAGCTTGAATGGCCACATTCACCTTGAAGTCCTCTTCTGTATCCTTTCTCTGTCCCCATGTCTTAGTGCTTAGCATCTGTCACATTTTCACAGAAGAAGTACTTAATCAGTGCAGACAGAAGGAGCCTCTGAGTTGAGTCCCCAGTGCCACAGAAGGAGTGCATCTTCTTGGTGCTGTGGGAAATTCAAAAGATAGTGAGGTTTGATTAAGCTCTGTGTCATTCAGAAGATGTCTGCCCATCCAGTCCTCCTTTATGACTTTTTGGAAACATTTCTCTCAGAAGCATTTTCGATCACCACGTAGCAGTGGTCGTCTCTGGTTTTTGCACCTTGTCTTTTTTCTCTTGGCTTTCCTCAGTAACTCATCCATTTTTATTATTTCCTCACAATATTTACCTCCCCCTCCTCTTCTTTCCCATGATGTGCCTCATGGGAAGCCAGAATCGTGTCGCTGGCTGACTGGGAATGCGTCCTCCCTGAGATGAGTGTGCATTTTTGGTCCCTAGGAGCCGGGGTCTTCCCTCTTCAGACAAAAGCCCAACTCTGGCTTCTCTTCTGCATCTAGCTCCAGCTGGGGTCTGCGGTCCTCTCAGCTCCGTGCACGCATCTGGACTGCTGGCCCCACAGAGGTGGCAGCAGCCAGGCTCCGAGGAACACAGGTGCCATCATGGGACAGGGACCTTGCAGTTTCAGGAACTGGGGCAATGCCACTCTGGCCTCCTGCTGCCCAAGGCTCTTGTGAGTGAGGATGGGCAACTCAGGGCTCACTCGGCTGTGCCTCTCTCTGGAGCCTATGCTTGGAACCGGGCAGCAGAGGCAGGCGGCTGTCTGGGCCTGGGCCTCGGCCTCAGGGCACCTAGGGATGCCCACATGGGGGCCTGCTGTTACCCCGGGTCACTGTGAGAACAGGGCTCCGGCACGATGAAGTATTTGCTTTTGAGAACCTGTGGGATCATCTTTCTCTGCTCCCTGACTAGGAATAGGTGGACTTCTGCTCCGGCGTGAATTTTGCACCTGATCTGCGCGCTTCTTTGAGTTGGCTGCTCCGGAGCTCAGCTAAGTGTTTCTTTAATTTTTATTGTCATTGGTCCACATGTGCAGTACGAAATGGTGATATTCTTTGTGGGGAGCATACGCGATACATCTCAATTCCGTTTTCATCCCCTTCCTCCTCCGTCCACCTTTTGTTTATATTTTAGGGTTCTAATACAACAGAATCCATGAAATATTTAAGCTGTGTGTCTGATTTATTTCAGTAAGCAGGATCTCAAGCTGCATGTATTCTCCTACAAATGACCCAAGTTTGCTCTTCTTGATGGCAGAGTAGTGCTCCATTGTTGGTTAACACCACATCTTCATCGGTTCGTCTGCTCCCAAGATTTAGCTATTGTGAATTGTGCTGCTGTAAACAGGGTGTGCATGGATCACTGTAATCCGATGTCTTTAGCTCTTTCGGGAAGACACCTGGGAGGGGAACAGGTGGGTGGGATGGAATTTCTAGTTAGTTGTTTGAGGATTCTTCACACTGAGTAGTTTATACTTCTACCTGCAGTGTGGACAGGTTCCTTTTCCCCCACAGCCTCACAAGCATTTGTTAGTATTTGATCTCTTGGTTATGGCCATTCTTTCTGGAGTAAGATGGAATCTCAGTGTTGTTTCAGTTTGTGGGTTTTTTTTTCATGTATTATTGGCCATTTGTATTTATTCTGAGAAATGTCCATTATTTCAGGAGCCCGTTGTTTGGGTGGGTATTTTATTTTGGGGTTATAATTATTGTGAATTCTCTATATATTCTAGTTATTAGCTCTCTGTCCGAGGAGTAAGTGGCAAAAAATTTTCCCCACCTGCTTCTAGCGAGTGTGTTGAACATAAAATGTGTGTGGTGTCTTCAGCTTATGCTTTCTGCTGTTCATTCCTTTCCTCGCAGTCTTCTCACTTTTGTAGGTACCTTTGTAATCTGCCTTGTGGGGCGAAGATAGTATATGAATTCACATATGACCCAACTTAGAGTGAGGCAACCATAGTTATTTTCACAGAAACGTAACTTGTAATTCTTTCCAGATGCTGTAGCTTAAGGAAAGGGGCAGAAGGGCAACTTTAAAACACTTTATTTCCATACATTGGGATCCTTTATTCCCAGCAGTTGGAATAATGGCAAAATATAAGAAGAAAACAAAATTCAGAGGAGAAACAGATATGAAAATGGCTAGCTAAGTAGGCTCAAGGGTCAGGGGCTTCTCGCAGTCTGGCTTCCTCCACACACTCACTGTTTATTAGCAGCCACGTACTGGGCAGAGCCTGCGGTTGCATCGCTGTCTGGTTCTCTGTGCTGTTTCATTGCAGATGTGCAGCATTGTGCTGTGTCCCGGTTACTCAAAGAGCAGTTTCGGATTTGAGACACTGTTGACATGTGTTTGTTCAAAGGGAATATTTGTAATTCAAAACAAAGTCCTCTGTAACACAGAGGACTCACAGAGGAAACTTTTCAGTTGGTAAGACATAGATAAAAATAACGAAAACAGAAAGTTAGTAAGAGTTCCCAAGTTCTCCCCTTAGAAGAGAGAGAACGGTGCCGGGAACCAGGGAGGTCACACACTTGCCCCTCGCCGACCTGACGTGGTGCCAGTAGAGACTGCTAGACTGAGTGGCAGCGTGAGACGCACAATAGTGGAAGGAGATCTGAGAGCGGCGTTGAGCTTGCTGTGGACACAGGATGAGTTCCGCACCTGGTCGTGGAGGACATGACACAGGGAGGCCACAGCCAGAGGTGTGGGGTGACCAGAGCCCTGTGGGCGTCAGCACAGTGGTCAGAGTTCTTGGGAAAGGCATTCCGGGAAGTGAGCCCTGGAGTCTGGTGCCCGTCAGCAATGTGGCTGCTGTAGGTTTGGTACATGAATATTGGACCTGTGGGTGTTTACCACACACAGGTGAGAGAGTAAACATTTTTATCTGTGAGCGTTTCTGGGAATCCGTGATCGGCCTGGGCTTTCCTGTGGGTTTTCATTGCCTCTGTTTTAATTTTGCAGTGTGTGGACAATATCCGATGTAATGGCTTAATGACGATCGTCTTTGAAGAGAATTCCAAAGTTACAGTGCCACATATGATAAAGTAAGTGCAGTAACCCTCCCGCTTCCGTTGAACCAAGAGCAAAAGGGCAGAGTTACGAGACCTTGACTGAAATACTGCTGCAGCAGAGCTGTGCTCCTTATTGAGAATGTGTCCGGCCAGCCATGTGACAATCTATGCTATGCCATTTTAAAAAAAGCAGTCGTCCAGATGGGTTTTCAGGTTCACAGCATGTTAACGTGTACCCCAGGAGAGCCATTTTTCATACTGTTGCCCATGCCTTCCCTCCGGGCAGAGTCTCAGCAGGATGCTCAGTACAGAGTCTAAAGTGGGAGGACCAGCTGTGTGCACGGTCAGAGGTGGCCACGGTGTGTGATGTCCGCGACCCCTCCCCTTGGGCAGAAACCTGTCTCCCAGGTCTGACAGCAGAGATGTGCAGATGTCGGACACAGAGAACAGCAGTCAATAACGTGACCATGGAAGCTTCCGCTCACCCGCTGCCTCTGACTTGGCCCAGGGGCATTTGCAGGGCTTGCATCCTGCTTGGTCTGCATGTCCACAAGGCGAATCCTGCAACTCGAGGGGACCACCAGGGTCTCTAGAGTTCAAAAGGGAAGTTCCGTGGCTGACCATTGTAGTCCCTGGGACGTAATACCCAACACCCACACATGAGAGGAGAGGTCGATTTTGGCCCTTATCTTATCTGTAGTCAGCTGGCTCCGAGGCAAAGGGCGTGGTGAAGGGCCTGGCACCAGAGAGCTGCTCCCATCATGGTGGTCAGGAAGCAGAGAGAGAAGGAACAGCTGGGGAGAAAGGTGCTGTTTAACCTCCCGGGCCACACCCCCAGTGACTGCCTCCAGCCAGGCCCCACCTCCCAACACCAAGCCAACTTTAGGGTCCCCATGATCCACCTACCTTCCATAAGCCCTGCCTCTGCATGGGGTATGCGGAGACACCCAGATTAAAACCACAGCAAGAACTATGTGCTGAAGCTGTCTGCATTAACGTTTCTCCGTAAGCTGCTTTGTTCTTCAATTAAAAAATTGCTATGTGAGAGTTCTGAAGTGGACCTAATTGTTCCTTACTCTCATTTTCTTAGTTATTTGCATTCTCAATTCTAAGAGTAAAGGGTATTTTTGAAAGCATTTTCGTTAGATCTTTTAAAACAGAAGCTATTTGAAACTAAGAGTGCGTTTGCCTTTTACGCCTTCTGATGTGGGTGTTTTGAGGTCTGAACTGTTCGTGCTGAGACGTAAGAAACATGAACTCTCGAAGAAGGGGGACTTCCTCTTCCGGGAGGCGGACACTGCCGTGAGCTCGGTCCACGTTGCTGGTGGCAGGGCGGTTATTGATCCTCTCCAGCAAAGGCACAGACACCACCGTGCTGCCACATTTGTGTGGGAAATGCGAGGAGTAGCGAGAATGAGAGCACTTTAAATTATTAGTCAGATTTTCCAGTACTTCAGGCAGGACTGTTTTCAAACTCCAGGGCGAAGATTCCTTTTGCATTCATTTGTGTAGATTTTTAATTCGTGTCGAAGAGATGGAGTCCTTAAAGATGTGAGGCTAAGATTAAGAACAAGTATGGACTGTTAGGTCAAGAGGTCAGATCATGACTTAATTTCCGACTTCACCTCATTGGGTTAGAATTATTTTGCCATCTCTCGCTGTAGGGCTCTTCTTTTAGTCTTTCCCAGAATGACAGTATGTGAGTTTCTTTCGTTACCCAGGCATGAAGTCTGCCTGCCTTGGAATGAGAGTGTGTGAGACAGACCTGATGTCAGGGACAGTACTCACGCCCCCTGCACACATTTGGCTGACTTCGAAGATTAGCACCGTGCTAACACGACCCGTGTCCTGGGCTGTGAGGATTTCCTGTCGGGGCCACGAGTCTACGCCATACTCGCTGTGCTCACTCCTTTGATTTCCAGCCTCCTCCGGCCTGATGTCCTCCAGCAGAGGCGAGAGGGTGGTCTTGCCCTCTCTCTTTTGACCCGAACTCTGCATTGCTGCCTCTCCCTGCATCTCTGTCTTCCTGGCCTATTGGCCATGGGGAAAAAAGAAAACCAATTTTTCAGAGTTCATGAAAAAATGACCCTGCTGTAACCATCCCTGACTTATTGCGGACGTGGACGGATTGGAGGCTGCCCTTCCTCTGAAACTTCCCAGATATGACAGATGATCTGGTTTTGATCTCCCCTGATTGCTTCTGTATGTTTATCACAAAAGAGTTGCTATTATCAAAGGAGTCTTAAGTAACACAGCTTGTTTTTCTAGAAAGTCCCTTAGGAAATAAAGTAAGATCCTGCCTGGCATAATAAGAGAAAATTAAGTAATTTCATAATATTTAATTTCTTTTCTCAAAATGAAAATGTAGTCATAATTTTGAAGGACACTGATGTAATCAGTTTAACTTAATTTCATGCTGGCTGCAACATATTTTCTCGTGCTCAGAATAAACTAATTATACTGTATTTAAAAGATGCAGAGCTCAAACTAGGATTAGAATGTGCAGTCACGGTGCTTGTCTGTGTCAGTGTCCTTTACATGGCATCTGAGCTCAGCCTTTCTTTTCATAATATCTGACTTCAGCTTGGAAAATAGCGATTGTGGATGAAAAACAGTAGGGAAAAGGCTATTATTCATTCAGCCATATTTGGGATAAATCGATGGGTTCCTAAAAGTTGCCCAGGCCTTTGACAAATGAAGAAATTGAGAATCAGAAAAGTTAAGTTAATGGAGGCCCACGCAGGGCAGTGAAGAGCTGCGCTCTTGGCAGCCTCGTGACTTCGAGATCAGTAGTGTGAAGTCAGGAGGCCCCTGGTGGTCTGCTTAGGACGCCCTTTTGGGTTTCGGGAGCAGAGGCCCTCCGCCCCCATGAGCAGTCGGAGCCAGGAAGTTTCCAAGGGCAAACAGTGACGGCTGTCCGTTCTGTTCCAGTGGAAAGCAAGTAAGTGTATCGTGGCCAGCCCTGGCGGAGCTGGAGGGCTCTCAGAAGCCCACTGGCTTCTCCTCTCCTCTGTGCCCCAGGTGTCTCCCTGGGACAGTGAGAGCCAGGCAGGGGGTGGGGCCTCGAGGTCTCAGCTGCTGGGGCTTTTTAAAAGGAAAACTGTCCTAGTGCGGCAGGCTATTGAAAACATAGAGCAGACGTAACACACCCAACTTACTGTAGGGATGAATTTACATTCAGAAAATGTCAGCTCATCAGTGAGCCCTGAAGAATTGGATCCAGAAATTGGGAATCCGACTCCAGACATTAGGAAAGGTCGACAAAGTCAACTGCAGCAAGTGTGGGAAGGAAATGACTGAGGTAGGATCAAATGTGGATGAGCTAAAATAAAGAAAAATGGTAGAGTTGCTGTGTCAAAGGGCCAATTCCAGGAGCCACATACATTAACAGATTAGATCTGTCACTACTTGGCGGTGATATTTGTGTCTTTACTCCAGTGTGGGGCAGGTGTCACTGCTACCTTTTAAGCACATTTCTGATGTTCTGCTTTCAGACCCTAGGAAATACTTTTCCTGCCAGGTCTGGTGGTGCACACCTGTAATCCAGCACTTGGGAGGCTGAGGCAGGAGGATTGCAGAGTTCAAGGCTAACCTGGACTACATAGTGAGGCCCTGTCCCAAAAGGAAACCATACGACAACAAAAAGTAAAAAGAAACGCATTTCCTCCTGAAAGAGGGCTTTTGATCTCATGCTCTGGAGGGGAGGGAGCCACGCCGTGAAGTGAGTTATTACAGTCCCCACAGCAGATCCTGGCTTCCAGACTCAGTGGCTGTTGCGTCCCTGTCACTCAGCTGCGTGTGCCTCGTGCTCCCTGCGGGGTCCCCAGGCCGGCTGAGGCTGACCCCCGCTCCCGCAGGTCGGATGCCCGGCTGCACCAGGACGACGCCGACATCTGCTTTAGCAAGACCCTCAACTCGTGCAAGGTGCCGCAGATCCGCTACGCCAGCGTGGAGCGCCTGCTCGAGCGCCTGACCGACCTGCGCTTCCTGAGCATAGACTTCCTCAACACCTTCCTGCACACCTACCGCGTCTTCACCTCGGCCTCCGTGGTGCTGGCCAAGCTGGCCGACATCTACCGGCGCCCCTTCACCTCCATCCCAGTCAGGTCAGGCGCGGCCACGGGGCGGGTGTGTCCCTGCTGCCTCCGCTTTCCCGCCCTGAGGCTCCTCCCTTCCTCTTCCTCCTCCTCTTCCTCCCTCTCGTGTTCCTCCGCCTCCCCCGCTCCCCCCACTCCTGCTGCAGCTGTAGTTTTCCAACCCTGCCTTTTGTACCACTGTACGTGGGAATCAGCGGGAGGCTGCAAGGCGCCCTGTGAAACCTCAGTGACTCTTCCGTGGGTCGCGCAGACCCTGCCCTGTGGAGCTTTGGATGGCTTGGAGGCCGTTCAGGACCCGGGTTGGGGTCAGGTGTGAGCTGCCCGCCCCCTTTGCACACGCGTGTGCCTGCAGCATGGGGTCAGGATGCCCACTCGCTGGCGTCTGGGACTTCAGTGTCCGACTGCTGCCCGTGAAGGCCTCTTTGGTTGTTCTCAGGTCCCTGGAGCTGTTCTTCGCCACCAGCCAGAACAGCAGAGGCGAGCACCTGGCGGATGGGAAGTCCCCGCACCTGTGCCGCAAGTTCTCCTCGCCGCCACCCCGGGCTGTGTCCAGGACGTCCTCGCCTGTGAGGACCAGGAAGCTGTCCCTCACATCCCCTGTGAACTCCAAGACGGGCGCCCTGGACCTGACTGTGTCCTCCTTGTCCAGCAGTCTGCCCACCACGCACAGCCCCACAGAGTCCCCACCGCCACACCCCGGTAAGTCCCTGGGGTCTTGGGGAGGCCGTGCTTCCCTGGCACAGCCCAACAACTGCAGGGAGGGGGAGACTGCCCAGCCCCGTGTGGCCCTGTGGCAGGCCAGGGAGGTGTCTGACACCCTAGGAGCCTCTGGTGCGTCCTCTCTTTGGCCCTGCTGCAGCCTCACTCCCTTGTCTCCCAAGCTGCAGTCACAAGGATTCTTCCTGCCCCAGGGCTTTTGCACTTGCTGAGCCCTCTGCCCACATGGCCTTCCTAGGAATGTCAGCTCCATGAGGTCAGCAGCCCCAGCTGTCTTGGACAGAACCAAATTGGAGAAAAATCGAATCAAAGTCAGTGGTTAGGATCCATGTTGACCTTATGGGGAAATTTGATTAAGTTCTTGTTCAGCTTGGTTTGTGACCAGAATTGTGGAAAGAATTAAGTTTGTGAACTGAGGTGCCACTGTGCATTTATTTACCATTTTTTGAGACAGAGTCTCACTATGTAGTTCAGGCTGGCCTTGCATTCACTGTGTAGCCCAGGCTGGCCTCAAACTTGCTGTGATCCTCTGCCTCAGCCTCCTGAGTGTTGGGATTCTAGGCATTTGCCACCATGCCTGGCAGGGTATTATTGACGACATAAAAATCGGGCATAACTCAGGCAAACATCCACATTTCAAAGGTGAACAATTTTGCTTCTTGCTCGCAGCTTCTAGGTGCTTCCTTGCTTCCATCTTCTCAGAGCGCTTCCCGAGCCAATGTCCTATGGGGATTCTAAGCGGAGAGGCTGTCCTGTTGGACAGTGGCCTCCTTCTCCAGGAATCCTTTACGGGTAGCAGCTAAGGCGGAGGGGAGGGTGATTAAAAAGTCACCCAACAACAAGCCCAAGTGAAGTCACAGTGGACCTGCCTAGGGTCTAAGGAGGTGGTGCAGGAGCTGGCAGCACTGGTTCTGGCCCAGGTTGGGGGCTCAGGGAGGATACTCAGGCCTGGCTGGGGTGCAGGGGTGTCCCCTGGGCGGCTGGTGCCCTCTGTCCTTTGGCTTAGGCGGGCTTTAGGACCAAGTGTCACAGCAAGCAGAGAAACAGGCAGCCACATCAGGAAGTGACCTGGGTGGGGGGCAGCAGCTTCTGTGAGGAGGGAATGAGGCCAAGGGTGCACGGCCCTGGGGTGCTGTCAGTGCTTCTTGGGCACAGCCCTGGCGCTGTGGATGTGCGGGGAGTCAGCATTCCGCTGAACAACCGCAGTGTCCTCTCCACCCCTCCCCTCCCCTCCCTCCTCTGCTTCTCCTCCTCTTCCTCCCTGTGTGATGTTTAACTAAAGATCACGCCGTCCTGAAGTCCATGTGCACAGAGCCTCTGGGTCACTGCACTGAGCATGAAGCCTTCAGGGTTCGCCCGTGTTGTGGCGAGTGACAGTGTCTCCTCTGAAAGGCTGCCTTCCCGCGTAGAGCGGCACCAACTTCTTCCCGTCCACCCATCCCCCAGTTGACACGTGGGCTACTCGCACCTCTTGGCTATTGTGCAGGGAGCTGTGGTGATCACGGGAGTGCACACGTCAGTTCACGATGCCCCTCTGCTGTGCTAAGGTGCAGCAGGAAAGGCGCACACCCACCAGCGAGACTGTCTGGCCATGTGGCCTTTCCACATTTAATTTTGGAAGGAGCCTCTGCGTCGCTTTGCACGGTGGCTGTACCACTTTGCACACCCACCAGCCGTGCAAGGGTTCCACAGCTCACCAGCACTTGCTACTTTAAGCAGTTTTCTTGTTTTATACTATCTTCATGGGTTTTAGGTTTTATAATTTCCCAAAGATTGCATTTTATTTTGGCTAAGGACTAGAGGTCCAAATACTAGTTCTTTTAAATAGGAAAGCACCATCTGGTCTCTCTGGCCACATTTGGAACACACGTGAGAGTCCAGAGGCCCCCGGGACCCGGCCTCTGCTCACCGTGGTAGATTGGTCTGTTGTGCCCAGAGTGCCCCAGCTTTGGTCTCCAACTTCCCTAGTGCTTGTCTCCCAGGCCCAGGCCCAGGTGTAGAGCGATGGTCCAATGCTGTGGGGAACCCCGCCAAGACCCTGTGCAGCACACAGAAGGAAGGAGCAGCAGGCTGGGCGAGTTAGGTGTGGGCACCCGTGTGTTTTGTATGCTCCAGGCTGGGTCATTTACAATGCGTAGAAATTGGTTTCTCATAGCTGGGAAGTCCAAGTCAAGGTGCCGCCCTTGGGCAAGGCCTCTGCGGGCAGCCTCCTCCCCTGAAGTGGCGCCCGTCCTCTCTGACCTCACCCCTCTCCGCACAGAGGGGTCAGGGCTTAGGGTTCCAGCGGTGAACTGCAGGGGCACCTCCAGGCCTCAGTGCCAGGTCTCCCCGAGAAGTGAGATCAAGCTGAGGCTGACACCGAGGGCCCTGGGGCGGGGCTTCGGGCCTGTGGATAAAGGCGCTCGCTGACCTTGCGGGCGCAGCCCCTCTGTCTCAGTGCAGTTACTGCCGAGTGACCTGCAGCTCTGTCTCCAGTGGGTCGGAGGTTCGTGTATCATTTTGCAATTGCAGGTGAGGGTTAAGTGCTGGGCTCCTCCCCTGGGGGTTCCAAGATGGGGGTCTGTGACCCTTGGGGACCCGAAAGCAGCCCAGTCTGATCCTCTGCTTCCTGGGCTTCCTGGGCACTTGCACCCCAGCGCCCCCTAGTGCTCCTTCCCACCGTGACCCTCCTCCTTGGTCATCCACTGAGTGCCCTGCCCTGGCCACTGCGTTCCTCAGCATTTCCCCGTCTGTCCCTGTCCTCTGCTTTCTCTGAAAGCATTGTTACTGTCTTTAAGGTGATTGTTCACAGAAAGCCATGGTAAAACTGGGTTGAAAATGAAATGGGGAGAGGTTAAGCTAGGTGAGCACAGGGCATGGTGGTCCGGGGAGGCCTCTGTGCTGCTGGGAGCCCTACCTGCTCAGAGTGCCTTGGCCCAGAATTAAGACAGGGTCAGATGGGAGCAGCGTGTGAGACCCGCTGAAACCTGGGGTACACAGGCTTGGGGGCTTCCTTTCTGCTCTTGAGACTGGAGAAAGGAAAGCCTGTGGGTAGAAAGTCCAGGTTTTTGGCTATGATTGTGGAATTTCTGGGCATTTTTCTAAGTAGGTAAAACAGGAATCCCAGTTTTCTCATCTATTCTGTGGTCAGATCAGGACAGTGCTGGTCATGAAGAGCCTTAGAGGGGCTGTGGGGAATGGCTCTGTATCCGTGTGTGCACATGTGCAAGTGTGCGTGTGAGTGAGGTGTGTGTAAACCCAGAGTGCTGTCCTGGCCTGAAAATCCCGCTGGGTAGCCAGAGCAGATGCTGACCGACTTCACTGTGAGAGATCTTTGCATGTGCCTCACTCGTGAGCCTGTGCCAGGAGCTCACACGCTTCTTGCCTCCCCCTCGGGGTACAATTCATGGCCAGTGTCAGTTCTGCTCCTGGGGTCCAACCGAGGCCCCGGCCCCTCTCGCTGCTGCACACCTAGAAGTTTCAGAGCATTCTGAAAACTGTTACGGACTTGGGTCCAGTGCTGTTGCGGTCTCCATAATGCCAGTCTTGCAGTATTTCCTGGCATGAAGGGAAAGAAGAGAAATAGGCAGTAACCTTCAAGATGAGCAAGGCGACACATGCTTTCGGGAGGCCATCGTGCAGTCTCGTTTCCTGCCAGCCTAATTCCCCAGCCGCTCTAACCCCACAGCCTTCCTTGTCACCGGGCAGACCCGCCTTCTCCTTTTAGAAAAGTTTACATTTTTTTTAACCCACGTTTGCAGTTCGTAGTGAGCACGCTCCTTGCAGGGATTGATTGGCACACACACGTGACACATCTTCGTGCTTTTCGTGTCCCCCCCAGCTCTCCGTCTTCCCTTCTGCAGAACACCTACCTCTCTGTTTCCTGTTCTCTGTGTTTTATTCTGCTGTTTATTTGTACTTTAGACTCTCATATAAGAGAATCCATGTGCTATTTAAGCTGTGCATCTGATTTATTTCTCTTTACCTTATGGTCTCAAGGTGCATTTGGCTGACTCAAGTTTGTCCTTCTTTGTGGCGGAGTAGTACTCCATGGGGTGTGAACACCACATTTTCAGTATTCAGTCTTCTGTCGATGGCTACAGAGGCTCCACTGTCTTCTGCCCTCGGTGTTCCTCCAAAGCAAACAGCAGCCTGACTCAGATGCCACCCCCGAGACGGCTTCTCCTTGAGAAGTCAGCCCCTGGCAGGCACAGAGGGGAGCCCCTCCCCCGAGCAGTGCCCCAGGGCTTGAGGCCGCTGTCTGCTCTGTGCTCCTTCCTGAGCACTGCCTGTGCTGAACCCCGAAGGAGATGCTGGCCCAGGCTGCGCTCGCCTCCTGTGATCCAGGAGCCCACAGTGCTCCCCTTCACTTTCCTGCCTTTGGGACTGGGGTCCCGTGCAGTTTTCCCCTGCCTCCCACTCGGGGTACAATTAATTCATGGCCAGTGTCAGTTCTGCTCCTGGGGTCCAACCGAGGCCCCGGCCCCTCTCGCTGCTGCACACCTGGAAGTTTCAGAGCATTCTGAAAACTGTTACGGACTTTGGTCCAGTGCTGTTGCTGTCCCCATACTTTTGGGCTCCACACATCACTGACTACAGAGCCGTCCTCGGTCTCTGGCTGGATGGGGGAGGCAGGTATTCCGCACGTTGCTGCACAGCAGATGCCGCCGAGGGATGCTGGTAGGGAGCTATTTCGGTCATAATAAAACCAACAGCTAAGCACGGATGTTTTCGTCTGCATCTTGCAGCCCTGCCAGCTTTACTGTAATTATGCCATTCAAGAGAAAAGGCTGCCATTTCCTGTCCCTGTCCCCTCTGAAAAGATGAAAATTGAGGCTGTTTCTAAGGACCGAATCACACGCGAGTATAAAAATGGCTCTATGAGAAGTCATTAGGGATTCTGTCATGTTTGTTGAGTGAAATCTTGAAGGGCACGACAAGGGGAGCAGCTGGGGTGGCCGGTTCAGAGCCCAGGCAGAACGGAAGAGCTGCTGGGCACCTGTTCGTGTTGGAGGAGCACACTCAAGGTCACGGTGGTACCCAGGGCAGGAGCGGGCTCGGGGAGGAGCTGTCACAGCCCGGCTGTGGGGCCGTTCCGCCCGTGGCTCGCTGGGAGGGCCTCCGGGACGCTGGCAGGACCGAAGGCCGTGGCACCGAGACCGTGTGGCCAGATGAAGTGTGACTGGACTTCAGCGTGTGCAGTATCCCTTCTGTGCCTGGGGTGGGCACGGCGGGACACGAGGACTCAGGCTGCTGCGGGGGTGGTGGTGGAGCTTCATACTTGGCTCACACTCTGGTGGCTTCAAGGGGTGCCGTGGGCCTAGGGGCAGCCCCGTCCTCATTGTGACCCCATCTGGTTTGTAACCTGACAGTCTCTTTTCTCCACTCCAGAAGAGGCCAAATGCCCTGCCGGGCAGGGTTCCCACCACAGACTTTTTAATGTACTGCATTGGACAGCAGGGGCCGGCAGGGGTCCCCTGGGGTCAGCAGGGCCAGCCGAGCGGGGTCCTCAGCACTATGCTGGGAGGAAGCACTCGGTCCCTGCTGGAGCACTTTAAGGGTGGAGAAAGTGCTCATCACCCTGGAGGTCTCTCACCTCCCTGGGTCTCACCCCACTGTTTTCCAGCAGCCGAGCGAGCAGGCGTGGAGAGCACCCCTGTGGATACCACTGAGCTGTCTCCCTGCCGGTCCCCCTCTACGCCCCGGCACCTCCGCTACCGCCAGCCTGGAGGTGAGCACCACAGCCCGGCACAGAGGAGCTGGGGTGGGCAGGGCATCGGCCTCACTCGGACTGCAAGAGACAGAAGCAACGACATCCAGGTAGGACAGAGGCATGGAGGGTGAACAGCGAGCCCAGCCTGATGGAACAATTCGGTCCCGCCCTTCATTGCATTTGGTACGGCAGGCGGTGGACCAAGCAACCTGGTGCTGGCAGGGAGCAGTGCAGGGACCTCAGCCTGGTGTCCCCTCAGCACACCTCACCCGGATTCCTTCCCAGGAGTTCGGCTGGCCGGCCTTAGGAACAGGCCCGCGGGCACTGCCATTGAGGAGCTTTCTCCCACCTGGACACCCGAACTGAGGCCCAGTCGCACGGAGCCCCAGGCTGTTGTTGGTGATGGAAATGTGTATTTTCTCATAGACAGTTGGGCAAATTCCTTAAATCATTGGGAGCAGAACAGATGTCCTGTAACTGGTGGGAAATCAGCAGAGCAGAAGGTAGAAGGCTTCTTGGGTCAGTGCGGGCCTGGCAGTTTCTGTGACCACAATCACACAGGACAGACGCTTCTGAGTGGACTCTCCAGAGATTTTGGGGTCACCGCCCGCAGAAATAGGCTTTACAAAAGCAGGCGAGAGATAGGTGCTGTGCACTGCTGTGTTGTTTATTTTCTTGCCTCTGGGACACAATGCTCCACCCTGACAGGTTAGAGGAGGAGAGGTTTGTTTTGGCTCAGTGCGTAGAGGTTTCTTGTTCCAAGGCAGGGCAGCACGGCAGAGGGCATCATAGAGCAGGGTGCTCAGGACATGGATGGCAGCAGGAAGCAGAGAGGGATCAGGGAGGCGGAGGGAGAGAGAGAGAGAGAGAGAGAGAGAGACCCTGCCAGGCCACGCCCCAGAGACCTCCTCCTCCACCCGGCTCCACCTCCCAGCATGGCACCCCACCTAAGACACTGGGGGGCCACTCCAGCACCACGCACCCGTGTCAGTCACCCCTGAGTCCGCCTGTGCACTGTGAGGCCTGGAGGGACCCCTAGGCATAAGACGTGGCAGCCCTGTTCACACACGAGCTCCTTACTTCTTGGAGGATTGTTTGGACATCGGCATCCTGTCTGTGGATGCCGCAGCCGGGTTTCTTCCCTGCCAGGAGAAGCCGAGGGAACACGGAGGGAGGCTGCTGCGTGGGGAGCCAGTAGGAGGGACACCGGTGTGCGCCTCTCCCCCGGCGCCCCTGCCTCTGGCCTGCGCTAGAGCTGCAGCGCTGAGGAGCTCAGCCCACAGAGTGACTGACCGCGCCCTGCAGGCGGAGCCCGCACACTTCCGCCGCAGCTGGCGGGAGGAGGAGCCAGGGCGCCCTCAACGTGGCGGACATCGTGGGGAAGAGCGGCAGGGTCCAGCCCCACAGTCAGGCTTGGGGTTCCAGAGCCACCCCTCTGCCACGCCTCCTTTCAGAGGTGCTCCGGGAAGAACGCCTGCCCTAACGCGATGTAGAATCTCTTACAGACATATGATCTTGAGATATAACTCATTCTGTCAGATTTGCCCCTTGAAAGTACGTAGTTCAGACAGCCATGATGATGAATTCTAGAACGTTCTCATCACCCTAAAGGCTTGCCCACCTCTGCCTCCCTGGCAGCCGGACTCAATCTCTTGTCTGTGTGTATGGAGCCCCCACCCCTCATACAAAGGAGGTCGTACGGCAGGGAGACCTTTCCTGTCTGGCCTCTAGCTTATCAGCGCTTTCTGGGTTCATCCATTTTGTTGCATACATCAGGATATCGGCCCTTTCCACGGCTCAGTAACAGTCCCTAGTCGATGTTATCAGCCAGCTGATGGACATTTGGTGGTGAGCTCTTCCGGCTGCTATGAATAATGCTGCGGTGCGTACTCGTGCGCAGGGTTCTGTGTGGCTGTGCTTTCTTCTGTCTCGGTTCCGTGCCTAGCGTGGAGGTGCTGGTGTTCAGTCTCACTGTTCTTCTCCTGGCAGGAACAGCACAAGAGATTGGCCCCTTCGTCTCTGTTGGATACAACGTGAGAGCTCCCGCTGTGAGCTGTGTCCGTCGGACTCACTCCCCTTCCCTTTCTTTCTGCCACACCAGGACAGACGGCAGACAGCACCCACTGCTCCGTGTCGCCGGCTTCTGCTTTTGCGATTGCCACAGCCGCAGCGGGACACGGGAGTCCCCCGGGTGAGTGGGGACCCACCAAGGACTGGCGCAAGGCGTGGGCCGCCCGGGGTTTCGTGTGCTGGGCTGCGGCTCCTGCCCTGTGTCCTGGGTCTGGGGAGGGCTCTGTTCAGGAGGCACCACGGGAAATCTGTCCTTCAGACGGGGCTGGACCGCAGGATGCTGTATTAAGTGAGGTACGGGGTGTGTGGAAGAGTATGGTGAGTGTTTAGATTGAAAAAACAATTACAGCGAAAGACACACGGCCACGAACCCCCCAGGCCTCCCCCGGCTTCACACGGTTCTCGCCACTTTCTGCAGCCACTCTGGAGCCCTCTTTGGGGAGCGCCTTCCGTTGTGCTGTTATGGCTGCCCCGATGTCCTGACTCTTTCAGGGTGTTGACCTTTCCTGGTCGTTGTGACTTTGGGGAAGGGCCAGAGTCGCACAGTGCCAGATCCCGGGACTAAGGCGGATGAGGGCCCAGCGCTGTGTTGTTACGAGCTGCCTTTCCATTGGGGGGCGCTCAGCATCAGGACACCGTATTTTAGGTCGCATCTGGTAAAGACCCTCAGGAAAGAGGACTCCACAGCTGCTGCAGACAGAGGCGAAGAAGTGAGAGGGGAGCGTCAGAAGCCAGGAGGAGGATTCTGAGGGGATTCAGTGAGGCACTTGGTCTTTTACTGCAGTTCACATTTAAATACTGACTAGGTTTCGATCACCTCTGTGTGCGAGGCACAGGAGCATGTGGAATGATCTGTCTCGCTTACCGGTGGAGGCTAACAAAGTCTCACTCACAGAGAGCAGCCATCCAGTTTCAGACAGGAAGGAACGGCAAGCTCTGGAGGTTTATTATACAGCGCAGTGGCTTGGATAATACTCATGTTCTGTATTCTTGAAGTTGCTGGGTGGATTTTAAATGTAGTCACGCACCGAAGAGGGAGTGACAGAGGTGCTAGTTACCTCGATTGAATCGTCTCTGGTGCATTCGTGCATCAAAACATCACCTCTTCCCCATAAATACAAACAATAAAGACAAACGTGCCGATAAGCAGGTACCCTCAGGAACTCCACACGGGCCGCACTTCTGAGACCCTGTGTCCAGGAGAGGGCACGATGCCCAAGGTGTCGTGTGTCCTGCTTCGGCTGAGGACATGCTTAAGTTTTGGTTGAGCCGGACGCTTCATGTGTGTGTGGAGGAGGGAAGCTTCTTCCTCGCTTGTTCCAGGACCTCTCAGTTCCTTCTGAGGGGCCAGCAGTTCCTTTCCAGGGTAAACATGCACTTAAAATTAAGGCATTTTTAAACAGATGAACATTCTGTCCGTGACCTCTGCAGTCTCCTCTTCTGGACAAGGAGGGGTGTGTTCTGGCCAGTCTGCGAATGGCTTAACTGGGTGTTGTTGCTGTGTTTCTTGAGCCAGAGCACTTGGTTCCTACCACAGTTTCTACAACCTCTCTGTCCTGTGTGCTGACAGAGACCTGAGATCTGAGCCAGACCCTTTGGGGTGGGGCCAGCACCTGCATGTTAACACGTTCTCCACTTGATTCAGGTACCCAGTAGCACTTGATAACCATGGAGCCCGTATGGTATTGGAGCTCCCTTCCCTGTATAGAAAGTCGGTGACTCCCTGGCACATGGGAGGCTGAGGCAGGAAGCCAGCCTGGGCTACGTAATAAGATTCTGTCTCAAAAAACAAAACAAACACCGAAAACCTGTGACTGTAGGTCACCTGTCACACAGGTTTTTATTTCTTTCTAAATGCTTTAGACAACTCTACCTTTATCTTTTAGTAGTTTTTGCATAGTACACATGGTTGATGTTGTCCAAGTTATACATTTTCTTTTATAGCAGGGATCGAACTCAGGACCTTGTGCTTGCGAGGCAGTCAGCAGAACCACTGAACTAAACCCCTGGCCCTCCAAGTTATACATTTAAATTCTCACTTTTTGGGGCCAGGGATTTAGCACAGTGGTTCAGTGGCCTGCCTTGCAAGCACAAGGACCCGAGTTAAATCCCTGGTACCAAAATAAATAAATTCTCATTTTTTGTTATTATTTTGAACATGGATGGTTGCCTCGTGTTCTGCTCCATGTTAGAGGCTGTTTTTGTCTCAAATAGCAAGTTTTAAAATATTTTTTTCAAGTTACGTGTTTTTAACAGCCTTACTGAGATGTAATTCACATACCATACACTTTACCTAAAGTCTCCAGTTCAGTGGATGGTAATATATTCCCAGAGTTGGGCAGGAATTCCCACAATGCACCGTGAAACATTCCCATTATCTCAGAAAGAAGCCCTGGACCTATGTGCATTCACCCTACCTGTTTCTTCCTTTTTCTTTGTGCAACTATGAATCTTTTTTCTGCCTATAGATTTGCCTATTCTGGACACTTAGTAAAAATGAAACCATACATATGTGGCCTTTTCTGCTTGGCTTATTTTTCTTAATGTTTTTTAGATTCCTTCATTTTTGTAGCAAGTGTCAGTCAGGAGATCCTTTTTCAGAGCAGAATAGTATTCTGTTGTATGGATACACCGAATTTCATTTACCTGTTCAGCAGTTGAAGGACATTTGGATTGTTCCTACTCTTTGGCCACCACGAATGGTGCTGCTGTCAACATTCCTACTCCAGTTTTTGTGTGGATGCTTGGTTTTATTTATGTTGACTTGCTGGATTGTGTGATAAGATTAGGTTGACTGTTCAGTAAACCTTGCCGCTGTGTATTTCCACCAGGAGTTTGATAGAGTTCTGCTTTCTCTGCCCAAGGGACCCTGTGCTGCCCCACTGTACAGCACAGTGGTCCCGGTCTTCCTTGTAATATCACTGCCTTTTATGTCACTCCCCCATGTGCTGCGATCACCCCACCTTTTATTACTGTATTTTAAACAATTGTCTTGTAGATCATTTAAAATATTTTATTTCATCATTTGTCCCTTCTCCAGTGTATTACCTTCTTTAGAACACAGATCTTAGTTTCTGACCTATTTCATTTTTCTCTGAAGAACTTCTTTTAACACCTCCCTAGAGCATGTGCTCATTTCTGAGGAGATGCTACGGTTCTTACCCTTATTCCTCTCTCTGTGGGTAAGGTGTCATTCTCTACAAGTTTTTTCAAGAATCTGTGTGACTTTGTCGGCGTGATGCTTTTTAAGATTGTCCCATAGTTCTGTGTTCTAATCTGTTCTTTTTTCAGGGCTATTTTCTTCCAGTCTTTCTTTCCTTTGTATTTCAGTTCGGAGATTTCTGTTGAGCTATGCTGGGGTTCCCTGTCTTCCCTCAGCAGCACCAAGTCTGTGATGAAACCCCAGAAGGAAGGCGCTTTCATTTCAGCACCAGTGTCACCATTTCTAGCATTTCCCTTGGATACGAAGCTTCCTGCCGCTGTAGGAAGTGGCAGGGACCTTGGGAGAAATGCATTGGAAGTGGAGGGAGGATGTTGGGGGAGGATCAATAACAATGTGTCTTTTACTGTAAGGCAGTTTTTAAAAAATTAAACATTCGTCATATTTTTATCACACTGCCTACCGGCTGCTCACAAAGGCCACCCAGTAAAATGATCGCACAAAGTTATTCCAGGGCGCACCCTCTCGGCCTTCAGACTTTGACACCAGACCCGGACACCTTCACGGCCTGGTTCGTAATCAGGGAATATCTGGGAACTAAAGCATGTAGAGCGGTTTTCTTTTCAACCTCACTTGTCCTGTACACAACTTAACAAGTTCAGAACATCTGCTTGTTTCTTTCCTAGGATGGGATTCTAGTTTGTGACATTTTCCTTTTTTTTTTTTTTCCCTCAAGGTATAAAAAAACTTTTCCATTAATTTTTCAGTAATTTTCATATTATTTCATTAAAACTAGCTAGTTGATGTTTTCGGGATAGGACCTGCAGTGTATTTACTTTATGGCTTTAAATAAAAATATCGTTACGGTTGTTAATGGAAAATAAAGAGCTTTGGCAAAATGAGTTTAAATGAACAGTGATATTAGATCTTGTTTATAAACATGTGCACACGCATGCATGCACACACACGCGTGCACACACCCTGGGATTAGAACTGTGGAATGGAGCAGCTGCGTCTTACCCTCTGCCTGTGCCTCCGCTGTTTCCCCAAGCAGACCCGACCTGTGCTGCAGCCGGCCCAGGAACTTCTCGCCTGGTTGGGTGGCACCGTCAGCTTTCTGCTCATGTTCCCTTCTTGGGTTCTGCACCCCCTTCCTCCCACCACCCCTGCCCTGCAGAGCAGGTGGAGGTGGAGGTGACCTTACCGGTGTCTCTAACTCTGCTGGGAGTTAAGCTGGCCTTGCCTTTCCAGGGACAGCGCTGCTCAGCCCGGGCCCAGAAGGACTGCAGGAGCAAGGCTGCCAGATATGTTTTCTGTCACCTGCTTTTTCTTCAAAAGAAAGACCAGAAATCTGAATATTTGTGTGAAATCTCATATTGTTCAGTGTTGGGAAACGTACTCTTCACAAACACCGTCCTGGCCAAGCAGAGTGCCTCTCGGGGCTGCACTTGGCTGTGGGCAGTGGTTGGCCTAGATGCGCCGTCTCACAGCTGACACACAGCTGAGATCTCCGGCGACACCTGGACCCCCAGGGCCCTCCCTGTCGTTTCTCCTCAGCTGGGCCGTGTGGCCAGAGGGACCCGCTCCCCTCCACTTCGGCTTTCAGAGGGGGGTGTTGTCTCGGAGATCCGTGGGCGCCTCCCCGTCACCGCTGCAGATGGAAGGGACTGCAGCACCGCTTTTCTCACCTCCTGGTTGTGTAGACTCTGAAGCAAGTGTGGAAGGAGCGAGGAGCAGCTCACTGCTTCCCACCGTGGCCAGCAGACACACCCAGTCTGCTCACTGCCAGGCTGTTGCTCGCTTTGTCCTGCTGTGGCCACTGGTCCCCTGTGAGCTTTGGGAAAAGTGAGAGCTTGGCATCTTGGGTCCCTGTGTTTGTCCTGCTCTCTCCCCTGGCGGCGTGGGTAGTGACACACCTATCTCTTCCCTCATTCCCACACCTCTGCAGCCACTTGCTGGGC